TATATCTGTATATATAACCCTATAAACCCTATAAACCCTATAAACCCTATTATAAACCCTATAAACCCTAAACCCTATAAACCCTATAAACCCTAATATAGGTTATATAAGGGTTTGTGTGGGTTTAGGGTAGCCTGGTGCACATGCAAGGAAGAGCTGCGGTTGCTGCTTCTCCTGCCTGCTGGTTGCCTTGTTCGCGGCTGCGACCGAAGGAGCCGACACATTGCCCCATGGATTCAACTCGTCTCTTTTGGTCGAACCCCTGCTCATGCTCACGAAGGTACTGCACTCTATGCCCAGCATGGATATAGCTCCAGCAGGGGAGCCTGAAAGAATCATCATCACGGCCAACCTGAGCACCCCATGACTCCATGTGTATAATAGCAAACTCACACGCGCAGGCGCATGTGCCACGTGTGACTTACAATTTAAGGTCAGATTCAGGCACGTGAAACCGGCGTTGCCATTGAGCTCGAGGGCCGATTGAGTAGGGTTGTCATCATAGTTTTTGTCAGCTGCAATGGCTCGGTATCCGACCTTCTGGGCAATGTTTGTGATCCTTGCTCGACCCGCGTAGAGCTCCACAACATCATAATCAAGGGCCGTGAAGGCAGGTTTTGGCTCAACCCAATAGGCCATCAGCACCACAGCCACAAAGGCCTTCAGGGAAGCATCTTTTTGTCTAGTACAACCCTACACTTTGTTATATTTGCCCTCCTTACCAGTTTGCTGCTGACTCAGGTGAGTGCTGCGCTCTGCTCCGAGTCCTTGCCGCACTAATTCAAGCAGGAAGCCTTTGGTACACCCATACTCATCAAGCGTCGCAGACACACGTCGAACTGGGACGGGGATAGCATGGCAGGCCGGTAGCTTTCGATCGGTTGAAAATGGTTGAAACACATGGGGTTTTTGGGCTTGCATCCATGATGATTCAGATGGAAGTCTTGTGTGTGTCAGCCCATGAGCAAGAACTGTCTGCGCGAGTCATGCGTTAAGGTTGAGCTGCACAAGTGCGGCCAGCAATTCCGTCAGTCAGACTTGCAAAGCCCGCCTGCATCCAAGGTGTCCGGGAGACAGCCTCGCCGAGCCAGAAAGGCTTGGCCGGGCTTCATGGTCTGGCCTTAGCAGCGGGGAGATTGGTGTGGAGAGTGGGGAGGGGGGGTCCCTACACCCTATAAACCCTAAACCCTATAAACCCTATAAACCCTATATTATAAACCCTATAAGCCCATTATAAACCCTATATAAACCCTAAGGGGGTGGGGGGGAGGGGGGGGGG